CATTCCGTTTGTTCAGGCTAATGTGGCCGCTAGACTGTCCAAGCTTCAAATCACCAAAGCCCTTGCCCCGGAAGGTTTTCCTGCTATGATTTGGCAGTATGTTACAAAGGAAATTTATTCAATCGTCCTGTATTATAGCACTGGTCTCGCCGCCAACAGCAGCAATTCACGTACTTTATTGGCCTTAATCCGCACGTCCACAAAAGCAACCTTTTGTGATATCACCATCTAAAATGGATATAGTTCACGAAAAATATGGCGCCAAATAATTGTGACATATATCATAATAATAATATTCGTTAACATCGTATATTATCCAAGAAAATTCCTATTAGATTATTAGAAAATGGAACCTAGAAAATATTATCACAAATTTCCCCATATAATCCCGAAATTTTCTTCCACAAATCAAGAAGCCATTTCATTCCAAAACAACTCAAAAACCGAGAATATACGTTAACATACATATTTACTATAAATTTTACAACTTAACATTATTAAAAATACGAACAATTAAGTATTGCTTTATTAAACAATATATAACAAAAATATATCATATAAATAATTGCAAATATAAAACCAATATATTCTAGTTTAAATAATATTTTTAAATTTATTAATTTTTAGTTCAATATTAAAAAATTCAAAAATACAAATCCAAAATAAATTCCCGAATTTATATAATTTAATAAATAAAATTACATAAATAAACATAATATAAGCAATCTTAAAATTAAAATTCCCAATAATTAAAGAAATATAATTAAATATATCCCCAAAAAATAATTTAAAACCAAATTAAAATTATTTATAAAATTTATTCGATTTCTTTTCTTAATATCATAAATTTATAAATATATTAAATCAATTTCTTCATATTCCAGAAAAATCAAAATATACATCATAAAAAATATCCGAACAAATCTAAATAACCTCCCCCGCTAATATATTACGATAATTACTAAAATTTGAATCCTTTATTTATTAAAAAAAAATAAATACATTAATTAATATAAAATTAAAGATATAATATATAAAACCTAATTACAATTTTACCATTACCCCTCTAATCAACATCAACGACAGATTTCATATCTTTAAATACTATTAATATACATTATAAATCATATACCAAAAAATTATTTATACATTTAATATATTTAAAATACATCATTATTTATATACATATATAACTATATTTTATTTTTTATTCAAAATAATTTTAGCATATAAATTCAATAAATCTTATCATTATATTATATTTGTCAATATATATTAGAATTATATATTAATAAATCATTATATATATATATATTTCTTTTTTTCCAATATATATTATAACTTAATTCATTTACAATTAAATATAAAATAAATCTAATATATAATTAATATATATATATATATTAAAAACATATACAATATATATTTTCAATATAGATATTTATATATTATATAACATATATATATATATATATTTATTTTTAAATAAATTTCATCAATTTGTTAAGTTGCTTGGGGACCGTCGTTCGTTGTTTCGGGGGAATTAGCGCAGAAGAAGTGTTTTTGACCCTTGCGGACCTCTGAAGAATTGGTTGTTCAGAACTAACAAAGGGTATAAAACACGTCTTGTTTTTTTTGCGTTGTTAGTGGCAACATACGAGACCCAAAGGACTATTTCATAGGTTTGTTTGTCTCGTGAGTGGTGAGTGAACGGCCATGGTAAAAGCTTTGTAGACGTTGTAAACCTTTGTAAGTTTGTTTGTAATTCAACAACTCTGTCAACTCTTTGCAAAAGTTGCAAACTTTGTACAAATTCTTAAGACTTTGTGAAAGTTTTGTAAACTTTGTATAACTTTGTAAAAATACAAAACTTTGTAAACGTTCTAAAAACTGTGTAAAACGTTGCTCTAACTTTGAAGAATAATTTGAAGAACTCCAAAACTTCGTAAAAGGTTTGTAAACCTTTTTACAAAGTTTGCGAATTTTTACAACGTCTTAATAAAGTTTTACCAAGTTCTTACACAGTTTTACAAGTTTAAAGGTTGACAAAGCTTACAAAGTTTGACAAAGTTTAAAAATGTTTTACAAAGTCTACAAAGTGTTGACAAAGTTTACCAAGTTTATACCAAGTTCACGACGTTTTTACAAAGCTTTCAAAGTTGGTACAAAGTTTACAAAGTTTTACACAGATTTTATGAAGTTTGCAAAGTTTTGAAAGTTTTACAACCGTTTACCAAGTTTACAAAGTTTTACAAAGTTTACAATATTTTAACACAGTTTACAAAGTTTTGAACAATTTCCAAAGTTTACCCAGTTTACAAAGGTTTTACCATTAAAAAATCAATTAAAAACGTATTGAAAGTTTTACAATGTTGCTGCAATGTTGACAAAGTTTTTACAAAGTTTACACAGTTTTGCAAAGTTTTGATAGTTTACAAAGCTTGTACAAAGTTTATAAAATCTTTACAAAGATTGCAATTTTTACAAATTCACATGGAGTTTTTTCAAAGTGTACAAACATTTGCAAACTTTACATAGTTTACAAAGCTTTCACAAAAGTTGCAAAGTTTTTACAGTTTACAGAGTTTTTGCACAGCATTGAAAGTTTACAACGATTTTAGAAAGCTTTGGAATTTGACAAAGTTCTTGCAAAGTTCGGAATTTTCACAATTTTTCAATTTTTACAGAGTCTACAAAGTCTCATAAAGTGTTTACAAAGTTTTCAAAGTTTTTACAAAGTTTACAAAGTTGTACAACGTTTTTACAAAGTTTACAACAGCTTTTTCAAGTTTACAAAGTTTTTACAAAGTTTACAAAGTTTTTACAAAGTTTATACACAGTTTACAAGGTTTTTACAAAGTTTACAAAGTTTTTACACAGTTTACAAGGTTTTTACAAAGTTTTTACAAAGTTTACAAAGTTTACAAAGTTTTTACAAAGTTTGCAAGGTTTTTACAAAGTTTTTACAAAGTTTACAAAAGTTTTCAAGTTTGCAAAGTTTTTACGAAATTTACAAAGTTTTTACAAAGTTTACAAAGTTTTTACAAAGTTTACAAAGTTTTTGCAAAGTTTGCAAATGGCTGGTGAAAAACACTTGTGTTTATAACAAATGACATGAAAAACACTTCTTTTCAATTAAAAAATCGTGCAAAAACACTTCTTTCACAGAACTTTACAAAGTTTTACAAAGTTTACACAATTTTTACAAAGTTTACAACGTTCTGACAAAGTTTGCGACATTTGCCTTTTGTTACACAAATTTACAAAGTTTTTACAAAGTTTACAAAGTTTTGAAGATATTGGAAAATTCACAAAGATTTTGCCAAGTTTACGAAGTTTTGCAAAGTTTACAGAGTTTCGACAAAGTTTACAAAGTTTCTTTCTACATTTTACAAAGTTTTTACAAAGTTTGTACAGTTTCACAATTTGTGTAAAATTTTGAGGAAATTTACAAAGTGTTCAAAGTTTACAAAGTTTTCACAACGTTCACAAGGTCTTCATATTTACAATGCTTTGACAAAGTTTAAAAACGTTTTACAAAGTTTATAACGGTCTTTTTTTAAATAGAGTTTACGAAGGCCTACAACATCTAAAAAATTTTTACAAAGTTTACAAAATGTTAGTACAAAGTGTACAAAGTTTGCAATGTGTACAAACTTTTTGACAAAGTTCACAAAGTTTTGACAAAGTTTACAAGTGTTTTACAAAGTTTTGACAAAGTTTTCGCATTTTACAATTTTTTATACAAAGTTTTCGCAGTTTTTTACACAGTTTTACAAAGTATACAAAGTTTTTACAAAGGTTTACGAAGTTTAAAGTGTTTCAGTGTTTAAAAAGTTTACAATTTTAACAGCAGTTTACGAAGTTTTGACAAAGTTTGCAAAATTTGTTCAATCTTTACACAGTTGTTGCAGAGTTTTGAAAGTTTACAAAGTTTTAGAATTTCACCAAATTTTCTACAAAGCTTACACAGCTTTTACAAAGTTTACAAAGTATTTACAAAGTTCTTACAAAGTTTACAACGTTTTGCAAAGTTTTCAAATAGTAAAGTTTACAAAGTTTTGACACAAATTAAAAAAAACCGAAACTTTGTAGAAAGTTTATAAGCATCAAAAACTTTTATAAAAGCTTTATAAAAACTTTCAAACTCAATAACTTAGTAACAACTTTATAAAATTCCAAAACTTGTTCAAAGCTTAATAAATGTCCAAAGCTTTATTCAGATATCTAAAGGTTCAATACCTTATAAAAACTTCGTAGTTCCAAAGTTTTGTAAAATTCAATGTACTATAAGTGTCCAAAAACTTTGTGAAGTTTGTTATTTCTATCTTTAAACTTTGTAGACTTTATTAAAACTTTGTAATGCAAAAACTCGGTAAAAAATTATAATTCCAAAACTTTGTCAAATTTTTGTAAAGATCCAAAACTTTGTAAACACTTTATAAGAAGTTTGTTTAAAGACCTACGAAAGCTGTTCAAGAAGAGCTAATCTTTGGATTAGTGAGACTGCTTGCATTTTTTGTTTAAAAAACGGCATTTAGTGCTTGCGCTTTGGGAATTTGTGACCGATGGCTATAGTGTTTCAGGGTATTAAGGGTGAGAAGAAGGGTCGAATGGTTATTGGTTGTGCAAGTGTTTTAAGACTTGGCCACGGAAACACCAAAACACTTCTTTCATTTTTTCCAAATAACATTGGTGCAAAACACTTCTTGCGAGCAAAAACACTAAACTCAAGCAACTTAACACATCAATTAATTCAATATTCTTATATTAAAAATCCAATATTTAAAGCAATATATAGTTTTATAACATATTGTTATATATTTAATTTTTAGATTTATTTCCAATCCAATGGCCAATCAATTGCCTGGAAAGATATAACTACAATATATAAATATAAGATCTATTTGCTGCAACATATCGAATGGATAAATAATGGTAATGAATCATATTGATTCAATATTTTAGTATAATATATATATATATTAGGATAAATATTACCGGAATTATTGAAGGACTATCTCCAAAGAAATTGTTTATGTTTCACTAAAGCAACCAGGACCGCGGACCACCCAAAGTCAGTCCTGCCCAGCAGGGATGGTGTCAGCCTGCGCTGTTTGCGGCCGGCAGGCGTTGGTTGGGGAACTTTTTCCCAAACTCCTCGGGGAATCGTTTGTGGGGAAGGACTCACACTTGTGGTTTGTTTAATCGTTGGTTTGTTCTGGTTTGTTGGGTGTTGCGATCGGACATGGCGTTGTTGGGTTCAGTCTTCTCCCTTTGAATTGGCGTGACACATATTTTGCTCAACGACCAAACATGGGGTGTTTAATTAGTCCTATGGATGGGAAGCAGTCGCCCCGACTAATGAAAATATCTTCGAAAAATATCATATGTGTCCTTCTAACACCGGGCAGGCCTCGCCTGTTGACATGTATGATGCCTATTCAGGACCCTCACGCTCGAATGCAATCTTGACTGTATTGCCCCTGCTTGCACTATCTTACTCAAAGCATGGGCTATCTCCTCAACACTCTTTAGAGTTTTCAAGATGTTCCCAACAAACCAAAATTAGAACAAGCGTGACTTTGGGCTTTGGGCAAGTTCCTTTGCAGGACCCTCAGTTCAAACACGTCTCAAAGACTATGTTTGTTAAACCAGTGGAAACCATGCCAAACCCATAAACTATATATTATCTTGATATTTACTAAATTATATGCCTTTATATCATATCCTTATACGAAACACCACTTGGAAAAACAACACCCCTGTGGAACCACTCGCAACTCGCAACCCTTTTTGACAGAGGCCTTGGACCATTCCCAGCGGCCTCGTGGGACGGCCCAAGACCTGACGTGGCAGCCGCAATTACACCATCGACCCGAAACAGCACTTGTTCAGTTGGTCCAGGTCATGGTCCAAAGTCATGGCTTTCTGTCGCAACATGCGAAGGTGTCAGCACGGTTGGGAAGGTGAGCACTTGAATCCACCTGACACTTGGCTCAGTGGCCCCTCTTTCTTGGCCAAGTCATGTCTGAACAACGGCCTTGCAAGCCATTGGAGTCCAAGTCCAAGTGCTCAGCGATCTGCACGCAGGCCTGGCTGATCGCACGCCCCGGACTCGACCCCTCGGCGGGGTCTCTTTGGACTGTGGGTATTGACACTCCAAAAATGACCATCCCGCACTCCACTCCAAGATCTCTTTGAGAGAGGGCGACTCTTCCAATCATCACATGGATCTGGCTGAATACAATAATCGTGAGCTCTGGACCCTCTGGACATGAATTATTTGTCCCTTCACGCTGAATCACAACACATCTGGATCGGCATCTGAGAGCCTCTAGCGCAAGAAAATCTACATAATCCCGCGCCCTGACCTAGCAGTCATCCTCATTGAAAGTACTGTAAGCATTGTTCGTCATTTCGAGCAAGGAGACCTACAGGACCTCCCTTCGAACAATTGCCCGCAAATCCAGCCCACCCTTCGCTACGCCTGCTGACAATCAGCATCAGCAAAGCATGCCTGGCAGGTGAGAAATGTTGAATTCAAGAGTTATGCCTTTTGTGATCCTCGACGCAGCCATCGAAGCGACCGCTCTCATTTTTTGTATACAGGTCCTAGGTGGGACTATAGGATGTTGGCCCAAACACCAACTTTTTGTGCCTTCAGTGGAACTGGTCGCGACTGACATCATGTGGTGCAACTCAGGGTGTAGCTCCAATCAATCCAAACAACCCTGCCGCATCAAGCCTTCTCAAGCACACGCCTGGCGTCGGGGGTCGTTGTTTCGTCCAGGTATAAGGGGAATTCTTCCAAAAAGGGCCTTCCAGTTGCAGTATGTTGCAGTACACACTTCCTTTGATGCGTGGAGATAGTGCAATACATCACACGCACATGCTGAGATACTATTATTGTAAGGTTTTGGAACATGTAGCACTTGCAAAAAACTCAAATACATTATCAACCATGTTTTACATGCATGATACACTGGTGTTCCTTGCCCAAATGACCCTCATCAAACTTATCGAATGTGTCAATGTGTTTGCCGCTGTATAGTTTGTCAACTTGTGGTAACACTATTTGGTTAAAATCTGCCTGAAAAGAAGAGTAGTATTGCAGGTGGGAGTCACCTTATTTGCGTCTCCAATATTCAGCAGGATAAGGTTTCGATTTGTTGCATGATCACATGCAGCAGCTGTAAGCTCCATAAAGGGATTCACCAAACTTTTAGAGCGAATGAACTGAAAGAGGTACCCACGATGTTGCTCACCTATGAGGGACTCTTTCATCTCCGCACTTTTATCGTGCATGCCGCAACACGTTTGTTCCACCTGGGTCGCCACTCCATAGACCAAACATACAAAACCAAACTTGCATGCATTCGCTGATCCAGGCGGGTTTCTTTAAGCCTAACAAGATGTCTTTCCCTCCAAGTCTATTTGCCAATGCATTAGGAACAATCCCCGCCAGCCACATAAGGATAAGAATACGGGTCAGTGGCGGGCATACGGCAAATCATGTTTTGCACACCCTTGCCCGTAGGCGAAGGGGTAGCATGCCTAGCACCTTTCCCCTCAAGCCGTTCTAAGTCCCAAAACAATCCTTGTGATTGTCTCCACCTCAGTGGTGGCTTGTGATAATGATTTCAAGAAGTCCATGAGGTGCATGCCCAATGGAGTGGGCCAGAGATTGGCATAACACACTAATTAACTGAATCCATTCCCTGAGATTCTCATTCTCAACCCCTTGGAATATAGTTGCACTTATATACACGTACACACCTGGAAATGGAACGCCGCTTTGCCTGATCTTCTCCAGGTGCTTCGTCATGGATTGGGGATGCAACGCAGAGCACTGGAGAAGCACCAACAAACCTTGCCGGTCGCGATCACGCATGGTCAGGAAACAGGTGAAACAGGGCTGTTTTGATGCTTCAGTAACTGGACTTGTCCAACATACTCCAAGAAAGGCATAGAAGTAGAAGTCTTGCCTCTTATATGTATATTTTGGCCGCCAGTAATTAGCATAGAAGTGGGCCCGGTTTGCCTGATATTATCCGATATGTTTGTTGGATAGACTCTGCAACTAAGTGGTTCAGAACCGGATGGTACGAGTATGCGGAGATAGCCTAGTTGGTTGACAATCATCTACGCGGCAAGACCGTCGACGAGTCGACAGTAATTCCATGCCATTCCAGAACCTCTCAATTGTTGTGGGTTTGGTTTTCCGACAAATTGCAGCAAGAGAATTGTCCATGGCTTTGAACTTGTTGTGGGTTAAACGGGTTAGAGTAATTCTCAGAATGAACAGAACAGAACAGGATCGAGACTCTCGAGACAATTCACCCTCCCTCCGTCACCTCGCCGCCGAACCCGTGCGTAGGCATCGCTGGCACAGGCGCAGCAGAGCTGCTCGGCCGCCTGAATAGCATCCGCCGCTCGCATGGGGTGAAGGTTGGATCAGTGAGGTGCGATGAATCGAGGGAGATGTTGTTGTCGTTGTCTTTCCTTGCTCCGTTCGTAGCGATGCCAGGCCCCTAGTAGCTTCTTGATCTTCTTGTTCCTAGTAGTAAGGCCAGGAGCCCATAGGTAGCGTCCTTGCTCCTAGTCTTTATGAGATTGTTCAACCCGCGGTCTTTTTTCCTCGTCAGATTCTGGTGAGGGTTGAGGTTCAGGTGATCATGTTTATGTGTCTGGCCCAGGGGGGAAGTTCGAGGCAAGACGGGATTGGCCAATACTGTTCATCCCAAAGAGGCAGCTTCGTTTGGGGGGTGAATCAGCTTCGTGGCTCGCTAGCTCCCGAGCAGGGGGATGCCGAAACAAAGCAAACCACAAAACTAAAGGTGGTAAAGGTGAGGGATGTGGACGAAAAGTAATTCGGACAAAATCAATTCAGTGACAAACATGATGGCCACCTTGGCTAAAACTCAGCTGCAAGTGATGAGATGTCCCTCTCAAAAGGGCTCTACGCGAATCGAAGCCTTCTGTTCTATCGTTGCCGCTTCTCAGTTTGGGGAATCTCTTCACCCCACAATCGGATTGTGCTATTTACCTACATCGACCGTGAAAACCATCGATGTAGGCAACTATATTCCAAACACTTCCAAACAAGTTCCATACATATGTCTGGTTCAAGAAAACTACATTAATCATATTACTTAGTTCCATGCATGTTTCGATTGTAGTTCCATACATGGATTGTCTGGATATATCTGGTTTCTGGTTTCCAAGCTTCTGAACCCCCCCACGGCTCGCCGAACCCCGTGCCTGATCCAGCTCCGCGCAGGGGATGCAGGGCGTGGACGCCAGCAAACGGGCCCAAACCTCCAAACGGTGCGACGTCCACATTGGCGACGCCGCGCGAAGCGGGAAGCCTGCCATGAGTAGCCCGTGTCAGGTGGAATGGAGAAGGCCTGCGATCTTGACCGGCTTGTAGAACTGGCTTCAAAAATTGCGACCGGTGAGACCGACTTCAACAACCTTTGCCGCAGTCACACGTCGTTGGGCGAAGCTTGCTCTCTTGCGCAGGATGTGTGGGGTTAGAGACTTCTGGGCCGTCGGGATTTCCTTTCACTTCATGATGCTCTTAGAGATCTGTTGAGTGAGTTTTCCTTTTGGGTGGCTCATTGTCATAGTCACTAGCCACGAACCGTCTTCATGTGGCACCCCAAGTTAAGAAACCGCAAGCTTGGCGAGAAGGCAAGTTGGAACAGATCGAGAAAGGGCGAACGACCATTGAATATGAACTTGCAATACCCTCCCCCAAAAGCCTGTGCACACCAACGAGCATTTGCCAGAACATGGAAGTTTTCTCACAGTCCAGCCACAGGACATGATGATACATACCAAATACCACTAGTAGTACGGCTAACTTCGTAAATGTAGTCACCCAAGGATACGAGACAGCTATAGCCAGATGGATGGAGCATGTCCAGCTCATGTTGTATATCCTTTATGGACTTCCACCGGATCTTTCGGGCTGCGGACAAAACGGTCCGCTGTCCCACCTCAAAGGCGGCCCAGCGGACCTCGTGGTTCGGCGTTAGATGGCACAAACGAGCACCCCAGAAAGAACGCCCCAAAACGGGACAATCAACTGAGATACGTGAGTGCGGCTCAAAACCCTATATTAATATTCCGTGTTCCAACCTGTACCAATCAACTTCAATAATGTGTGTACATAATCATCAATCAAATAGGAACAAACACATCACCAACTTCTCACCTTAAACACATCTTAACAGCAATAAATATATAACATCTCTGTGTGTTTGGGTGTGCGGGTTTCGTGCTCGCTGTCTCCACCTTGGGGAAACTTCGGGGTGACAAAGACGGCTTGAAGCCGTCCATCGGCTGAATTCCTGGGAAGGACAATGACAATATAAGACATACACCCCAACAAAAAAGGTGAAAGGTCGGCAAAAGGCCTCTTAGAAAGCAGCTGTATATATGTATATATATGTATATATATATATACTCGTCCGGAAACACGGGGTCTTTCTGACTTCCCTGCATTTTGCGAATGCATGAGTTGAACAATTGCCCTTTCAACCATCGTCCCACACGAGTAGCCCTCCCCCTCCCCGAGCTTCATTGGATTTGCTTAACGACCCGGGAAACACTTAAAAACAATTTTAAACATGTCAGATTCACCTGAAAGTGGATAGGAAAACAAACATCATCCCAAGCAAAGCAGGACACACACACATGCCGGATTTCTACCAACCAACCGTAGACATCTTCAAACTATTCATCTTAAGGGACGGTTGAGCCCTTGGCCAAGACGTCGAGAAACAAACAGTTCATCTTCTAAAATCCATCTCATCCGGTCTAACTTCTTGAGTGGCTCAGCTTCCGCGCCCGCGGGTGCGCATGAGCAAAGAAGGACCTACGTGTATCTCACGAAGGCAGCCGCCAGGGTGTGAGACACCCCTCTGCGGTGTGAGACGTTCCCACAGAGAGATGTTGTTTTGGCACCAAGGTGCTGTGAATGTATCAGAGTGGCCTTCGTGAGTCCTGCCAGGCTTGTGAGTGCTTATGAACGAAAAACAAGCATCAAGTTGGATGGAATTTGTCAGCAACGGAACAATAATGTAACTTATATAATATATAACTGATCTCTTTAAAGTCGTCCCATTGTGATCAATGTTTGCTGCTAACTGGTGGTGAATCTGCTGCCCACAACACTAGTCACTAGTCGTAGATAAGAACGCATGAGTACAGAGCTGCCACTGAACATCAATTGATGACGGAAAGCGATGAACATCGCTTTGAGTTTCTCCCCGGTAGGTTTTGCGGGGAGGGGTTAGGGAGGGGGTGAAAATCTCGAGATCGTGATTTGCAGACTTTTTGGTGGCTTGAGGCAGTATGTTGAAGTTAACGAAGCACTGTAAAATACAGCAAAAAATAAGATTTTTTTTGCATCATGAATGCAATGTTTTTTGACAAACTGGGTCAGCACTTTTCACAAGGGCATCGGATACACAAATAACAAACAAAATGCTAAAAAAAGTCGGGGGGCATTCAACAGCACCACTTGCATCACTAAGAGGTGCATGGGAGGCACAAAGAGCACAGAAGAGACGGAAACAAAGCAAAGCAACCTAAGATGATAATTTTTTGACACCAAGGCCCACAAGAAGACACAAAGAGCACAGAATGGACACAAGCAAGGCCAACCCTTTTGAAAAGAATGGAAAGCACCTGGGAAAATTGACACGGCAACCCCACAAGTATGAAACCACGCTTTTGGGCAGACAACGCACTGGATCAAGGCTAACCTGCTTGAGCAGAGGCAAAAACATGGCAAGCCAACCTAAAAGGCATGGAAAGCACATAGGAAAGCCAACCAGGAAACCCAAAAATACGAAGCCAACAACACGAAAATCACATTGGGGCCTAGAACCAGTTTTTGTCGCAACAAGGCTCACAAAGACAAAGAACCAAGGGTAACCCATTTAAAAAGATGGAAAGCACCTAAGACACAAAGAGCACAGAAGAGACGGAAACAAAGCAAATCAGCTTAAGATGAGAATTTTTTGACACCAAGGCCCACAAGAAGGCACAAAGAGCACAGAATGGACACAACCAAGACAAACCCTTTTGACATGAATGGAAAGCACCTGGGAAAATTGACACGGCAACCCCAAAAGTATAAAACCGCGCTTTTGGGCAGACAACGCACTGGATCAAGGCTAACCTGCTTGAGAAGAGGCCAAAACAAGGCAAGCCAACTTAAAAGGCATCAAGGCAAGCCAACTTCAAAGGCATGGAAAGCGCATAGGAAGACCAACCAGGAAACCAAAAAAA